GACGGTCTAATCCCAGCTCACGTTCCCTATTAGTGGGTGAACAATCCAACGCTTGGTGAATTCTGCTTCACAATGATAGGAAGAGCGGACATCGAAGGATCAAAAAGCGACTTCTGGGTAAGTGGACTTCTGGGTAAATATAGCCAAAACAAATGCACCAAATGGCTTGTGGTATTTTGTCAAAGACTGGGAGAGAAGTCCTACAACTGCTAAAATCTGATGCCACTCTTTTTTTGTTTGCATTTTGTGAAAAATATCTTCTTCAGAGGTCTTCATGTCACTTCCTTCAGTGATTGTTGGGCCACGGGCGGGGGTAGGGTTGCTCAAAGGGTTTGGATTGTTTGGCACAGCTGAGTGTGAAAGAGAACTGCAGCAGCTGAAAATGGAACAAATATTGTAATTTTTGTCCCCAAGTGAACCAAGTCTACCAGACTATCAGGGGTAAAAACAAGCTTAATAAATGCCATCTTATTTTATTAATCATTCAGTTTTGATTGGGCGAAACATGCTTTTACCTTTTCAGCCAACATTTTATTGACATATCCTTTTTTATGTCTAGCTCCTTGTCAAACCAAAATGTATTAGTTTATTCACATAAATAGTTGGGGCCTCTCACAACACTTCCTTTGCGAGAGGTTTATTAAAAGCCAGGAAGTCCAAAAAGTTCTGCCAATGAGTGAATTGAATCTTTTCTTTTATTGTTATTGTTATTTCAGACAAACATTTCACCAAGAGAAAACAACACATAAAAAAGTAGAACTTGCATATTTTCTAGGTGTAACACCCTGTTACCAAACATACATACTCAAATACATGCAGTACACTGCTTGTTTGGTGACTATGAGTCTGAAAAGTATGGAGGACCAAAACTGACATAATAATAAATAAAGGAATAAATATATAAATATATATCCGACATATATAAATAAAAGAATAAACAAATAAATAAAAAATATATGTCCAACATAATAATAAATAAAATAATATATAAATAAAATAATAAATATATAAATAAAAGCTTAAATATAAATTTCCTTTTTCATTTACCCTTAGTTAAACCCTTAGTTAACCCTTAGTTATTTACCCTTAGAGTTTCCGTCAAGAAAAATAGATATTTTGCTTTGCCTGTTTTGCTTCTCCCTTTTCTGCTTGCTGTATTTCCGTTTGCTGTATTTTTTCCTGTATTATTTGCTGTATTTTTTGCTCGCTGTATTTCTGCTGCATCGTTATGTTAATGAGGAGGGCTGCCTTCTATGTCCAGCTCTTCTACTATTGGTCAATTATCAAGAAAGAGAACCATCCGTGTGCAGATCGATTGTGAATGTCTGCACTGTGGTCCTCTTCGGAGAGCGCCTTATTTGAGAGGAAGTAAGCAACTATTAGAGATGTATCGTAGGATTGCTGAGGAATTAAGGCACGTTGCTAGCTTAGCTGAAAGTAATACAGTCAGTGATGACTATTTACTGTTTTGAGTCGATGTTTTGAGTGGGTGGTCCAGTTAGCTGCAGACACGGATAATGATGCTGACTCATTAGTTGTCCAGATTTTGGAGGAAGTGGCTTGTCGTTTGCACAAATCTGTGTACCACACAAGAACAGTTGGAAGACCTGGATATTTGCTGCCTGCTGACGTCTTGGAATCATTTCTTCTTGCGGGTGTATCCGTCATGGATATTGGCAGACTTTTTGGGGTCAGTGAAAGAACTGTTCACAGGCGAATGGCAGAGTACGGTATAAGGTAAGTACGCATGTGTGGTATTTCTTTTGCTACTTTGAACTGATTTGTATTTTATATTTTTATTATAATTCCAGTTGTTAGGAACATCTGTGTCAATGACGTGCAGTGAGGTTCATAACTGGTGAGGCACTGACTTAATCAAAATCATAATATCCCCTGCATGTTATTGTTTACCTATGGAAATACAGGGTGAAAATAGCAATATAAATTATCTTATTATTCTTCCATGATGACAGCTGAGGTTCTGCCTCCCCTGACCACACGTCGCTGATCTGTTGTGTTCAAATGTACAAATATCGAATTTTACTAGTAAAACATATTATGTTAAGCCTTTAATCCACTTAATTAGTTTAGAATTATGAGGTATATTCATATTCATCTACGATTGGCTCGTGATCTATTCAGGGTGTACCCTGCTTCTGGCCTGTTGACCTCTGGAGATAGGTCCCCTCACCCATCATGACCCAACTAGGATAAGTGTTAATGGATGGATTCATTCAAATATATTGAGGTGTAGATGGCATCAGAAAAGTATTTACGAATTTGTTGATGTCCACCATTAAGATACTTCCACATGACTCTTATGGTAATTCCTCTTCAAAATGTGTAATACATTTGTGTCAGAAATTTGGTCTTATGATTCCTTCCGTGTGGAGAACCTCACTTTTGGTTGCGTTTTATTTTTTCTTGTAGAGTATCTGAATTATACTGCAACATTGAAGAAGATGAGCTGGATGGAGTTGTGTGAGAGATTCTAAGTTATCACCCTAATACAGGATACAAGATGATATTGGGCTATTTGAATGCCAGAGGTATTCGTATCCAAAGTAAGTCAGCAGATGAACCTATGGCTGCTTATATTAACACCAATTGCAGTTGTATATATCATTCAATTGATAACAAATAGCAGTTTACCACTTATATGCAATGTAAAAAAATCACAAAGACAATTTAATGTCATACCGTTGGAAGTAAATTAAATGTTCTAATATATTGCAGTTGCATAGCAATATTGTAATCTTATTTTAACTGTCATTAGTACACCATGGACTCATTGACATGTGAGTGTTTTAGGTGTATAGTTAATGTTTGAAATGTTCTATTTCATTACGTTCATCACCTCCAAATCAAACATGTTTTAATTATGGATTACTTAATTTTTCAAGGAAGAAGAGTGCAAGAAGAAGTTGACCAGCAAGGAATTTTGATGCGCACTTTCCGGCTTTGCACTGTTCGGCGTAGAAGATACTCTGTTCCAGCTCCAAACAGCTTGTGGCACATAGATGGAATCCATAAACTTGTACGGTCAGAATTACTTGTTTGATAAAAGAAAAGCAACGTTTAAGATATTTCCTGAACAAATAGAAATAACTAGACCAGTAAAATAAATAGACCAGATAAATGCTTGAGTGTTTGATTAGTATCTGGCAGATACTAATCAAACAAGTTAAATCGTCCTAAATCAAGCATAAAAAATGTTCCCTCTTATTCAGTGAGCATCTATTTTGAAATGGTTTTCATAACTTAATTTAAATCTTTCTGTTTCTTACGGGTCACACCTATTATGAAGCCTATAAACCTATTAAGAAAAATACATTTGTTTCATGTTTGTAAATGTTCTGTAGCTGCTTTATTATATTCACATAATGAAAAGCATGTAAGTTAATTGAACATTAAAAGAAAAATTGATTCATAGAAATTGTTTGACTGCTGATGGTCCCATATTAATGTAATGTTTAAAAATGAGGAATTAAGTTGACATTACAAATACATGTACTCTTTAAAAGTAGTTTATTTATTTTTATAGTGAATAAGGGAGACCAACAAAGACAATGACATAAAAGTTTTTTAACTTGTCTTTGCCTAAGTGAGAATGGAACTACTCTGTGTTTTAACGTAAACATCTACTCTGCTGAATAAGAGCACTGCGGTTATGATTTTCCTTCTCTGTGAATTCCAGGCCTGCATTCAACAAACAAAAGAAAGTTTCTGCTACCAGTGCTAATCAAAAATGTTTTTGTTGTCTATATAGATGGTAAATTGTTGTTCACGGGGGCATTGACGGTTTTAGCCGCCTCATTACTTACCTGACTGCTGCTACAAACAATCGTGCTACAACAGTTCTTGACAGCTTTCTTGAAGCTGTGAATACATATGGAGTGCCATCTCGTGTTCGTTCAGACAAAGGAGGGGAGAATGTACTAGTGGCACACTTCATGGTCTCAACCAGAGGCCAAAACAGAAATTCTCACATAACAGGAAGAAGCACACATAACCAAAGGTATTTAAATTAAAGTCTTGATGTATTCTCCATTCTTCATGTTTTCATACTGACTACTTCCATGGAAGTTGCTACATTTCTCAAAATAGTATGACAAGTAACCGTCGTGAAATCCCGGGGTAAGTATTCTGTAAGTCTGCATCTCAGAATTATGAACTCAATGTCCACAGAGCAATGACTGGAGACCAGGGTGGCGTTGTTACACCAGCTGTTGTTAATGTAAATACAAACACCACCTCCCCTGGATTTACCAGTAAGAGCATGGCTCCTGTCAGCTCTAAAAGTTGTTAGCCCCTCCAGGCTGATGTCATGATCAGGGACAGATGAGTTTAGCCATGTCTCACAGAAAATGAGAATGCAGCAGTTTCTTGTTTCCCTTTTGGTGGTTAAATCCAGCTACGCTTAGTCCAACTTGATTCAAGGGATCATTCGGAAAGGGTCAGCTTTTAGCTTAGCTGCAAGTCCACCACGACACTCTCGCTTTTGTTTTCTCTCACATCTTCTCCGGTGTCTTTATGGGCCTGGGCTGTTGGAAGATTCTGCTGCTGTGTAGTTAGCTTGATTCAACTGATCTAACTGACATAGCAGTCCAAGACTTTGTAAAGTTGTCCATGTCTTCTTATTTATGAAGTCCAGATGACTGAATTAGCTCAATATTAATTAACATAGTCTGACGGTCAGAGACTGTTCTTACAGTGTTTCTCTGAGCTATTGTAGAAGAAGATATTTAATTAAGCAATAAATTTGTTGTATTACTGGGAGCTGAAGCAGCCGCAGCCATATAGAGTGCCGCCATGGCAACAAACTTAACTTTAAATCATCAATTTCTTCACATTTATAATGACTAAAACACGGTTACATAAAATGACTAACATTGATTGACAAATTGAAATTATTATTTTAAGTTGTTGGTGTTTATATCAGTGCATTATGACAACCTTGTTTTACTCCTTTTTAACAAAAAAATGTCTTTTCAATCCATGATTGAGAGGTTATGGAGAGATGTATTTGGGGTAGTGTTGGATCTGTTTTATACAACTTTCTTCTACCTGGAGACCTAGGGCCTCCTGCAAACAGACAACGAGGTGCACTTATACGCATTACACTGGACCTTTCTACCTCAAATCAACAGACATCTTCAATTTTTCATGGACAGCTGGAACAACCACGGACTACGCACAGAACAGAACCAGTCACCACTACTGTTGTGGTCTCAAAACCAACATGAAGGTCACGAGCCCACACAAGTTTGTTTAATTTATGCCATTTTACAAAGTGCAATTATAAATTTGCTTTTGTGGTTTAAAAACAACACCAGTGTGTGTAGTCTGGATGTTTTTTTTATATCATATTTTCTTAAATCTTTGACAGGTTGACAACCAGTATGGTATTGATGGGGAGAGCCAATATGGTTGCCATCATGATGGCGTGACTGTGCCAGAGAGCTTCCAAGGCCTTTGACTCGGGTGGAAATTGAAACACTACCAGATCCAACGTCCTTGTTTTCTAATGTGATAAATGTTTATTGTCAGACAGTTGATATTCTAACTGGAATTTTTGGAGATATGTAAATTGAAGATACAAAATAGATTTCCTTCATAATTTGGTGCAACTTAGTTTCTTTGATAAATACAAATCCTTTTTTAGTGGGTGTAATTTATTATCAAAATGTGTGTGCCGCCTTTTTTGCTGTAAGGTTCTGAAATTTACATCGTTATAACAGAGCCAACTTGCTATTTATTAATACTGACTACATAATATTACACAGTGGTATTCAAGTTATATTCTATATTGGCAAAGACAATAAATTAGATGTAAACATTTTCTTTTAATTAACAATATTCAGTGTTTACATGTGCTAGCTACATGTTTATGTAATAAAATCACCATTATGAAACCATTGTAATTTTCATTACAAATTCAACCATATCAGCTTTAACATTTTGTATGCAAGCCATTTCTAGCTAAGAAATCAATTACCATGATGGTCTAATATTTCTTAAAAGTTTCAGTGATACAGCTAATGAATGTGTTAACTGGGTAAACAATTTATAGCAGCAAGTACAAGCTTCAAAATATGTTCTACAATAACATGAAACAGTTATATACTGCTCAAAAAAATAAAGGGAACATTTCACTTTAATTTTGTGTGTGGCTCCAAATCCAGGCCTCCATTGGTTAATAAATTTGATTTCCATTGATGATTTTTGTGTGATTTTGTTGTCAGCACATTCAACTTTGTACAGAACAAAGTATTCAATGAGAATATTTCATTCATTCAGATCTAGGATGTTATTTGAGTGTTCCCTTTATTTTTTTGAGCAGTATTGAAACAAGAATGCAAAGTTCTGTCAAACTCAAGTAATTAACAAGTGCACTAGACACTATTTTATAACAATTACAAAATATTTGAAGGTCGTAACTAAAAAAAATTACATAGTGCATTTCTAAGTGCTTAAATTTGTAAGACATTGAAATGGCCCGGTTCAAATTAGGCCAAAACCTGAGTAGCTTGAAGACATGCTGGCCATAAGGTGTTGGTGGAAGTCTGCATAGTTTTTGTGATTTTTGGACAACTTTAACGTCAGGAAGCAAGTGGATGACTGCGGGAGATTACAGTCAACAACTTCAACCTCCAGATTGGAGCTGACCAGACCCCAGCCGGTCCAAAAAGTTTGTAGATTCCTTAGGATGTCTGATGTCCCTTTAAGGCACACAAATTAACAAATTATGTTAAGAGTTAATGTTATCAATACATTAGCAAAAAAAATTTAATAATTCAGTTTTGAAAGGCACAAAAAAGGCGCTGCGATCATTTTGTGATTCCTGCTCATCCCGCATTGGAACAGCCTTTTTTAGTGGACAGATTCACCGCAGAGTAACAGGCAATGTCCAAACCAGTCATGTATATCTATGAAGAAATCCTACAACCGCTAAAATCTGACACCGCTCCGGTTTTTATTTTTTTTTTTTTGTTTTGATTTTTTTTACTTTTTGTGAAGAAGAAAGTTGTGCTGTTCTTCCTCAGAGATTTTGTGTTGATTCCTTCAGTAATTCTTGGTGCAGCGCCACCACAGGCGACGGGGGGAACAGGGTTTTTGTAAAAAGTCTGGTTGAACATAAGCTAAGTAAATCCCCCCAGTGGTAGAATTTCGAGCGATTAAAAAAAACATACGTAAGCTGTCGACTTACATTAAAACTAGAACAAACACAAGGAGGGAAACAAAAGAACACTTACTCCAATTGCGCATTGGCCTGGCTCTGGGGCTTTGTGTCGGAGGAGTTGAACCGGTGGTAGTTAACCAAAAACTTACCACGTTCCAACTCATCCAACCTATTCGCAGCCTCCCTTAACAATTCAGAAACTGAGTGTCGTGATTCCTCCATAACTTCAGGACTGTTGAACTGAGGCCAAAAGCGCCAAGTAGGAAGGCATGCACAATCGATCTGCACACATATTGTTCTCTTTCCTGTTTATTGACCAATAGTAGAAGAGCTGGAACGCAGCCCTCCTCATTAACATAACGATGCAGGAGAAATACAGCGAGCAAATAAAACAGCAAATAATACAGCAAAAAATACAACAAACGGAAATATAGCAAACGGAAAAACAGTGAGCAGAAATACAGCGAGCAGAAAAGGGAGAAGCAAAACAGGCAAAGCAAAATATCTATTTTTCTTGACGGAAACTCGTGTCAGGGGAAATGAAAAAGAAAATATATATTTATGCTTTTATTTCTTATCATAAATATATTTTTATTCTTTTATTTATATATTTATTCTTTTATTTATA